TAAATCCTAAACACTAGACCGTTGGTTTAGGGGCTCGGGGGGGTTCCGGTTTTAGCTTGTTTTTTTTGTCAGAACCTGCAAGACGGTAGTTCTCTGAAGTCAGATCCCTTTCTAGGTTCGCTTAAAGGGATCGTTACGGGTTTCTATAAGGGCTTCGATGTGGGTAGTTCTCTAAACTAAAGGTCCCTTTTAGGGTCCTTTTGAAAAGGGTGCTGCAGGATCCTAATTTAGAGAACTACCCAGGGAAGAGATGGCGATCATCCCCTTGAAGTAGGGCTCTCTAAGAGGGTCCACTTAAAGGGCACCATGGGGCTTTTGAAATCGGATACCCCTTAAAGGCTGGTATAGCTTTAATCGGTTCTATAATACAGGGTTAAGGATTACCATATACCGGGTCTGCAATGCACAGCTTTGATAGCCGACAATCAACAACGGCAAGTGTGGTCATTACGATTCTGCGTAGTGCAGCAACCTGCCAACAATAATGATGTGGTTCGCAATTTCCATGTCTGCACTCGCAGATGACTCTAAACTCTTAGCTAGTCGCCATTCCATATTTTGTGTCTTTCATACCCTAAAGCTGCAAAACCCAAACATCGTAAAACCCTAGAGCCCTAAACCCCTACAAGTAGTATTAGGCCATTAACACACCTAAAACTCTAACCCCTAGACTCCTACACCCCATAACCGACGTAGAGCACCTTTTTGGCTGCAGTGTCGATGGGCCCGGTGAAAGGCCAACCTTGCATAGCAAAACTGTTGAGTTCTTGGACTCACGGGGGTTTGAGGTTTAAGCAGTCAAGGCTTACATAAGATTAGTATAAAAAATAAGGGTTTAGGCCTTAAAGTTTAGGGTTAAGGTTCATGGGGATTAAGGTTTACTGTAGGACGCCAGAAGATTGGAAACTGGATTAAGGATCACAGTGGTCGGATTGCAAACGAAGACATCACTTCCAGATCTATCGCTTCGAGTTTAGGACATGTGCCTATTGCTGAAACCCTTTCCTGTCGAAGCCTAAACAGTGAACCAACATGGCTCTTTCTTGAAAAACACTCTTGAAAGACACTCAGCCGTCAAGTCTTCAATGCGGCAGCCGAATCCGCAAGATAAAAGCCAACCCTAAACGGATCCCTAAACCCTAAATCCCAAACCCTACTTGGAGGTTCATGGGTAGTTATAAGTAGGAATCTAAGTCCCCTAATACGGCTTGTATTCAAAATTACCCTACTTATAAACCTTACTTATACCTACCCATGAACCTCCAAGTAAACCATGCCATACCCTAAACCCTAAACCCTCAAACCCTCATCCCTAAACCATGCAATACCCTAAACCCTAAACCCTCGAACCCCAAATCTGCAAATCATAGACCCTACGTCTGAGGTGCCCGGCGCACCGCGCGGCCCTTGGCAAAGCTCCTGAGCTGCGTCCTCTCTCCCTGCCGAGGGCGAAACCTCGGTGTCGAGTTCGAACGACGAGTTCGGCTCAGGTAGGGTTTAGGGTTTAGGGTTTAGAGTTTGGGGTTTGGCGTTTAGGGGTTTAGGGTTTAGGGTCTTAAGAATTGGAATAGGGTTTGGGGTTTGGGGTTTAGGGGTTTAGGGCTTTAGGGGTTTAGGGTCTTAAGAATTAGAATTAGGGCTTAGACGGTTTAGGATAAAATGAGGTGCAGGACTTCGGGCTCAAGCGTTCTGTGGGGGCCGGCACAATTAGTTTTTTTATAGTCTAAGTATAATAATAGTTAATAATCGTAATCAATAAAACAATAATAATAACAATATTAATGGTAGTAGTAATAATAATCATCATACTAATATTAATGGAACCTTATGGAAGGATATGGGTAACTGTTAGGCTTCTATATTACACCTGACACACCGCACAAGACCATCAACAAGGACTGCAAACGACAAGCTGCCTGAAACCCTCCGTACCGTGAACATCTCAAGCGGTGATGTCCACAACCCCAAAACTAACCCCATCCATGCAATAAGCTCTGCCTATAGTCTCCATTGTGGTCCCTTTCTGGGGTTACCTTAAAGGATTCTAAATATATAACTGGTTAAGCCCAAAAAGGAACCACTATAGGTGTAAGCCTCAACCATCAGTTTGCCGCCCCACTCTGATTAACCAACCCTTTTCTTTACAGGGCCTGTAGACTCAGGATCCCTATGAATCTCCCGTCGAGGCCTTCTCTTCATTAGTCAGCGGTTCACATTATAGGTCCTGTAGATCCTGAACCCTAAACCCTAAACCCTAAACTCTTAAACCCTAAACCCTGAACTCTGAACCCTAAACCCTAAACCCTAGACCCTTACACCAAAAAACCGTTAAGCCTGAAGCCACGCCCAACCTGCAAGTCCGCACAGCCCGTAAGCAAGGCGGCTTCCAAGCCAACCACTCTTAGGGTTTAGCGCCCTTAGCGGTTTAGGCTAGGGTTTAGGGTTTAGGGTTTAGGGGGGTTTAGGGTTTAGCGGTTTAGGCTAGGCTTTACCTTTAGTCTCCATTGTGGTTTCGCTTTTTGGGTTACCTTTGCGGATCCTAAACATAAGTTTGGTTTAACACAAAAAAAGGAACGGCAATGGACGCCATAGCAAATATCCCCTAAACCCTAAACAGTCCCTAAACCCTATTTAGGATTTATTGGGTCGAACATCCTTGGTGCCGGGCTCCTCGAAGTCGGATGTCGACGCAAGGAGCCACAGAAGCTCCTAGCGCTCCGCTTAGTAACACCCACAGGCTCCATCTACCGACAAAGTATACCCTAAACCCTAAAACCTTGATATAATATATAACCCAGAGGGTCCGAGTACCCAAATAGTAAGGTTTCAGGTCCCAAAATCCATACTCTGAATGGTTTCTGGAATTTGAAACCCTACTATTTGGGTACTTGGACCCTTAGGGTAATTAATTACTTAGCTTGAAGTACCAAACCGGGAATCTCTTTAGGGCTTAAGTAGAAACTTTAGTGGGTACATGGAGCCTGTTGCCAAGTAGGGAGGGTTTCGACTGTGGCCTTTGCTTAGGGGTTTAGCTTCCTAGGGGCTTTCGGGTTTCAGGGGTTTGTTTAGGTATTGCCTGGAGCCTATACAGCAGCAGTTTAAAACAGGCTCCACATGCATTTAGCATCTGTCAGCCGATTCAAAGTTTAAGGTTCGGCCCAGTTGACGGCTCAGGGCACTGATGTTTGTCATAATATACTAGGCTACAGTGGCATGACTCAGATGATCTCGAAATGCCACAACTTGACCATCAGGCAGATACCCATAAAGGAACTACTCAGGGGCCTGTGGATACCTTTCTGTTTCGGATGTTCTCAGGAAGGAACGCGTTGCCACTGCTGCATACTGTATGTTGACCTTTCAGGCCCTCCCCATTATAATTAGGCCTAAGCCCTAAAACCGTAAACCCCTAAACCAAACCCTAAACCCCAGGGTTTGGGGTTAAGGACATTGCGGTCATGCGGGATAATCTGGAGAAATGTGTGTATTTTTTCAGCTCACCTTTGGAACAGTCCAGGAGTGTCTGCTTCTCATGGCTCTTCATCTGAGGAAGGGTTGCTTAAGTGTTCCTTTAAAAAGTTTAGGGTTTAGGGTTCCTTTAAAGAGTCCGGTAGTTCTGTTTTTGAGGGTCCCTTTTATAAGGGTGCCGTACAAAAGTGGGGACCTAAACGGGACCCCAATTTAGAGAACTACACCCATATGCCGCCTCTTTTCTCTGGGAGCATGGCGTTCTCAAGCATGTCCCAACACTACCTATAGGCTCCATAGTAGCTCCTTTTCGGGATTACCTTATAGGATCCTAATAAATATTGAACAAAGAAGAACTGCTATGGAGCCTATGGGTACCTTCAAATTTTCGTCGTTGGAGTATTAGGGGTGTGCCATCTGACAGCGAACTAAAGCAGTACCTTGATCTCCACCGTGACGTTCAGGATAACGGTACGCTGCTATCAAGGATTGATCTGAAAGACCCTGAAATCAATGTGGCCAGTTGCTATCGTCAGTTGTACTGCTATTCACCGGATCTACCCAAACCATCCTAAACCCTAAATCCCCATAAACCCTATACCTATCACATCCAGTTTTGCTGCAAGCCGTGACGATGAGGGTTGCTCCTTCATGTCCTGAGGTGCTCCCGCTGCTTGCAGCTGGTGGAGAGTGCTCCTCTACTGAACTTGGTTTAGGGTTTAGGGTTTAGAGAGCTGTTTCTCAGGGTCTTAGGTTTTAAAGAAACCCCAAATTCAAACTTCATTCCAAGTGCCCCGAGGCTCACACGCACACCGCTGCGGCAGAGGGTCCCTCCGAGTGGCGTTGATTGAAAGCCGGGATGCTGTGCACTGGTAGCGATGAGGCCGGCAGACCTCATCTTCCCCTGAACCCTAAACCCTACGGTTTAGGGTTTAGGGTTTAACCTCAAACCCTAAACCCTCAACCCTAAACCCTAAGGGTTTAGCCTCAAACCCTAAACCCTCAACCCTGTGGACCCTCTAAAACCCTGAACCCTCAAGCCTAAACCCAAAACCCTCGTGGAGATGAGGCCGGCAGACCTCATCTTCGCTTCCTCTGCTTGGCCCAAGAGCCGTAGAAAGCCTGGTTTTTGCTTTTTTTGGGAGGATTTTGATACTTTTTATGTTACAATATCATAAGGATAAGGAAATCATATTAATTAGGGTTTAGGGGTCGTGAGGATAAGGAAATCATGATTATTTAGATATAGACTCCCCCAGATTCCTTAAGGAGAACCCAGGCGCCGGTCACATCAGGGCCCTGAGGATATGCGAGTGGATGCCCATTGGGAGCTGCTCTGCAGTGAGGTAGCGGACAGGCGGCGGCGTAGCGGAGAGGGTCCTGTGGGAGTTAGGATTAGGCACGGTTTAGGCTTTAGGGTTTAGGGCTTGGGGATATATAGACCCTCTCAATAAGGTCCCCTTAAAAAGAGCCACAAGTAGGGTTCAGAAGGGTCCCCTTTAAGGGGTCCCTCCCTAATACTACCTAGGGTCCTTGCGGGCCCTCACGGCCAGGAAGGTGCCGGCAAGCCATGTGCAAAGCGCCTCCTGATTTTGTATCCTGGACTTTGAAGTAACCAGGGAGAAAAAAAGGTATAGACTTTTATTTTAGAATGGTTCCTTTAAGGAACAGGTTTTATAAAAAAGTATTCAAGCATGGTACTCTAGAACCCAGCATCGATCCGGCCACGACTTCACAGAGCAAAGCCTCGGTAAGCCGTTCCGGCAGGTTGCTCTCAAGAGGCCGACCTTCCAGCAGTTGCTGCCAGCGTGCTGAAAGCCCCTCTTCGGCCAAAATCACAGCAACCCCCTGGTCGTCGAACTGGGGTCGTCCAGCTCGGCCCATGATTTGCAACATCTCCAACTCGTCGTACTCCTCCCAGCCGCCTTCCTTGTACCTCGGCCCAAGAAGCAACCGGACTCTCTCAGGCCTCTCTAGGGCCCCTTAACTAGACCCTCACGGAACTCTCGTGAACATTCTAGAACCTTTAAAGGAACCCTAAACCCTAAACCCCCTCAACACTATAAACCCTATAAAGCCTAAACCCTAAACCCTACAAGGAAACCGAAACGGAACCTGTCAAAACACCCCATGCAGGGTACCGGCTTGCTCAAATCCGATGCCCCTGAACCGCTGCCCTGATCCGGCCAATCCAACACATGGCTCATAGGGTTTAGGGGTTTAGGGCTTTAGGGTCTAGGGGTTTAGGGTTTAGGGTTTCGGGTCTAAGGGTTTAGAGTCTAGGGGTTTAGAGTTTAGGGTTTAGGGGTTTATAGGGGTTTAGGGTTTAGGGTCTCAACAAAAGCAAGAAGACTGGACAACGACACTTCCGGTAGCAAGGAAAGCAACACTAACACCAAGGCTAAGCCCCGGACTAAGACGAGCGAGTGTATTCTACAGATATGGGTAGTTCTCTAAATTAGGCTCCCTTTTTTGGTCCCCAATATGGTACGGCACCCTTATATGAAGGGACACCCCAAAAAAGGACCCTAATTTAGAAAACTACCCATACTATGGTCTTATTATGACAAGCCTTTCTGACAGCACTGCTGAGATGCGCGGTGGTCCCCTTCACTACGACCAGGCGGGCCGGGAGGTTCACCCCAAGTGCCAACGTCTGTGTGCAGAACAGCACCTGATTGGGGAGTTTAGGGTATATAGACCTTCAAAAAGGCTTCTATAACGGTAACTACCCACCTGAAAATGTCCTAGACCTGAGCAGGTGGCGGATCTTAAGAGGTACGGCTGATGGGTTTATAGGGCTTATAGGGCTTATATAGGGTTTATAGGGCTTATAGGGCTTATAGGGTTTAGGGGTTGATGATATAAATCCTGCATTACCCATAATAAGGAATATACCAGAATTCCCATAGTCTAGGGCCCTTAAGGTGATGCAGGATGTATGTATCATCCAACAGTAGGTGTCGGGCTGGTTTGGGGCTTAGGCTTCAGGGTTTTAAGGTTCTGGTGCCCCACACTGCAGAGACTCCCATCACGAAGTCCCTCAGCTTAGTATGGACACCAACACCCCCGGCCCTAAGGGTCCGAGTACTCCCTCCTAAAGGTCTTTGGGCTCCTTCGAAGGCTGGGTACCCTTACCCTGACGGTTTTGGGTTTAGGAGTTCAGGGTTTTGGGTTTTGGGGCCTAAGGCTCCAAGTAGCCCAAACTAGGTACCATGTCGAGACTTTCAAAACCCCAAGGTAGGTCACCGTTGGCGTACTTGGAAGTCTTAGGGTCAAATCAGCTACCCTCCATTCTACCCTACATACCCAGTTTACGGACCATAAAGGGCTCTATTATGCCCTAAATACCCAGTATTACGGACCATAAGGGCTCTCTTAAGGGGTACTTCGGGTGGGTGGGTCCTGGTTAGGCTTCTTACAGCAACACAGCCCCGCCATCGAGGCGCCTGAACTGCGGCCTCAAGGAAGAGGGTTTCGACGAGGCGGCGGTCCGTCGCCTTGGGCATCAAAGCTGCTTCACAGGGTTTCGTTAAAGGTGTGCCTTTAAACGGGACCCTTTCGAGGGAGCCTTACAGAAATCCTTAAGGGGCTTCAAGGAGGCCTTACAGAAACTCTTCAAGGGCTTAAAGGAAGCCATACAGAAGCCCTTCAAGGGCTTAAAGGAACCCTTCTAAGGGTTTTCAAGGGCTTTAGCCCTACACCCAGGAAGGGGTTGGGGCTCTAGAAGTTGACTTTGCTATAGGTCCTCGGGGGTTGAGGGGCCCCTAAACCCTAAGCGTTTAGGGTTGAGGGGTTGCGGGTTTAGGGTTTAGGGGTTAGGGTTTAAGGGGTTTAGAGTTTCGGGTTTAAGGGTTTAGGGCTTATTGCCAAGAGCCTGGGGATTCTCCAAGGCTCTGATGGGTTCTTCTGGAGGCTCACAGGAGTTGACAGGTTTAAGCGGGTTCTTACACCCAAACCCTCAACCCTGTGTGTTTCTGTTGTTTTGGACAGGCGTGAGGAAATTGGGGCTCAATGCTTATGCTTCGCGATTGGGAGTTTAGGGCTTACGGTTTGGGGTTTCGGGTTTAGGGTTCAAGTTTTAGAAACGCTTGCTCTGGCAGGCTCTGGGTTCCAAGATACCCCCATCCTGCTACTCTAATAGCCACGAGGGGCTGCAAGATAACTCCAGAAGCTGAAGGAATGGACCTTCCATCGAATCAGCACCCCCTCCACGGCTGAATGCCTGGCCCTAAACTTTAAGCCTTATTAAGCCCTAAACCCCAAACTAAACCCTAAACCCCTACACCTGAATAAGCCCTGTAAACCCTAAACCCAAAGCTGTGAAGTTTGGAAATCTCCGTTTCTGCATGTGTTAACCGCAGACCAGCCGCGCTCAGCCCGGAGTGATGAAAGGCAAGGCCATGGGGCCTTTGTGTTTAGTTTTCGCCAGTTTTATTGTCCGGATCCTAAAAGACCCGAAACCACAAACCCTAAACCCTAAAGCCCTAAAACCCTAAACCCTAAAAACCCTAAACCCTAAAAACCCTAAAACCCAACGAAAGAGCCACAAAACGGAGGCTGTAGGAAGGCCATGGGGCAGAAGACCGCGAAGCGTCGCATCCGAAACCTTCGCTGCCTTGCACTCAAAGCCCGAAGGGTCTATGTACCCTAGCAGTTCGCGCCTACCCAGACCCCCGGGAGGATCCAAAAAGTAGATCCCTCTATAAAGTACCCTAGTAGTTCGGGTCCTAAATTAAGGGATCTAGGGCTTACTGTAAGGCCAAAGTATATGCCCTAAACCCTAAAGCAAATTGGGAACCCTAAATCCCAAACCCCAAACCCTAAACCCGAAACCCTAAACCCTGAACCCTAAGCCCTAAACCTTAAACCTATTTAAGAACCCTAGACTCTAAACCCTAAGCCCTGAACCCTAAACCTGTTTGAGAACCCTAAACCCTACATGGACCCTTCGGCAAGTTGAGGGGCTCTGAGTCCAGGGCTTGGGATTTGGGGCTGTCGGGTAGCTTCTGGGAGCGTCAGGGTCCCGAGTCTTTTTTTTTGCGTTTTGCCGGGAGGGGGTTCAAGTTTAGCCCTAAAGCCTAAACCCTATATTAGGGCATATAAGAGTTGGGGTCGAACCATAAAGGGGCTCTCTTAAAGGGTACTTGGGGGGGGGGGGG